TAGATAAAAAGTTGATCATAGTGTCCCAGGCTGCTGGCAAATCAAAGTCATGTCTTCCCTGTTAGCAGAAGTATCCAGTGTCTGCTGTGCCCTCCAGAACAAAAATAAGGCAGTGGAGGATCTTTGGGAAATTAAAAAGCTGGGCTTGTATTTTATATCCATCAATTCTGAATTATATTTTGTTGTCAAAAGAATTACAGCCAAGTCACCTCTCCAGCTCCTGGATTAGTTGTTTGTGGCTTTGTTTTTATTTTTTTGTTATGTTTTTGGAACTTAGGAAGTTATATGAAAGGTGGGCAGGGATTTATAGTATTGCCTCGTAGTGTAAGTTATCTCTCTGGTGGGCTGCCTGTGCTGAAAGGTTTTCAAGGAAATCAGAAGAGGTTTGAACTACTGTTCCTGGAAGATTTATGTGACTTGTTTTCTGAGGCTGCTCTGAGCTGCGTGTCTTAGGGTTGGAATTTCCCCCTCCCCACTCCCTTTCCTCATCCTGGATGTACACAAGAAGGAAAGCTTTCATTTCCCTGTTCTTCAGGGGATGAGCAGGACAGTCTGAACTCATCCCTTCCCTCGGGAGGCACTAAATGGTCACTAAAGGAGATGACCAGCTGGGGAGCAGCTGATTTACAGCAGGAAGCTGAGAGTAATTGCCTAGGCAAAAGCCAGGAGCCCTCGCTAATTAAGCTGTCCCTGGAACTGCAGGAAAGACAGGAGATCGCTGGGGATGCTGCTTCACCTTCCCTTTGTGGTGCTGGAGCTGCTGTAAACAGCAGAGCTTAAAAAGGGAGGTGGGGAGGAGGGCTGGGCATGACTCATGGCATCATTTTATATTTATCAAGTGGAGGTGTATGAATGTTGTTCTTCATTTCATAGGGATGAGTAAGTAGGTAATGGATGTTTCTTAATCTTCCTAGCTGATAGAAAAAGAACCCCAAAGTCATCTCCTGGGGTGAGTTAAATCCAAAGTTCTAAATGTTAAAGAGCAGGAAGTAGAACTGTTCCTCTAAATTAAAAAAATAAAAGTAATAAAATATACCCGAAGCTTAGGGGAAATACATGTAAAATAAAGAGATATTAAGTGCCCTTCTTGTATTTCTTAATCAAGCTCTCCTATTATAGTGCAAAGCCTATTTCATGGTCTTTTTATGAAGACAAAATTCCTCTTGCTTTAGTCAGCCAGTGGTCCATGGTTTGTACCTACCTGTGGAAATGGAGTCAAATGAGAGATTGGGCCATAGAAATGTTACCTGGCACCTCACTTCAGTCCTGTCTAGACTTTGTACTTGAAGATAGGAAGGCTGCAACCAATCTGTAATGGAGGTGAACTCAAGAACAGGTGCTGGTGGGAAACTAAAAATAGGAATTTACGTGGGAGAGTTTAAGCCATGTGTTATAAATGGTGAAAAGGAGATGCTCGTGTGCCTCTGCAGGTCCTACTTGTGCAGTCATGCATTTACAGTGAGACCGGGGAAGGTGATCTGGGATTTTTATTTATAGTGGGATATAAATGTTGGGGAATGTCGGTGTGTGTTGTACCTCAGAGGAAAAGAGCGGGGAAATCTGAGAGAAGCTGGGCTGGTGAGGTATGGACCTCCTAAATTAGCACCCTGCTGCTGGAAAGAGGGATGTAAGGCTTCAAAAATAAGTGACACCTCCTGTTTGGATTGTAACACAGCCCTCCAGGAAAGAATTTTAAGGAGCTGGGAGTTCTTACAGAGTGTTACTATACACCACAAAATGGGTTTTCAAGAGCATCTTTGTTTCTGGAGGGTTGTAGCAAGAAGCAGGAGGAAATGGGCCACGGGGATGTTTTTCCTGAAGCAGCACTATGGCATTGACCCACATCTCCACTGCAGGGAGGGAAGGCAAAATAAAATGAAGTTGTATGGGATCTGTAACAGGTTTGATGCTTTCAGCCTTCCTGAAAACTCATAATTTTTTTATAATGCTTGATTCTAGAAGTTAATATACTGTTCTGTGCTGCAGGTTCTGCTGCAGAAAATAACTAAGGGTGCATGTAATAATGCTGTAAAATGTACAGACTTGGAGATTTTTGTTTCATAAATGCTTCAAATAATTTAATGAAAAATCTCACCTATGCAAGTCATGATCTATATTCTGAAGACACTTTTAAGTTGAAGTTCTGATTAATTCTTAGGCTGGTGGTCTTCCAGCCAGATTTCCTGCATTGAGGAATTAGAGTTCTGCAATTGCTTATATGAATCATGGCAATTCCATCAATGCTTTTTGGATCTTTCTGGAGTTGTCAGGAAGGGGATCACGGTGGTGGCTTTGTCATCTGTTCAGTCCCTTTAGTAACTGGAAGAAAAGCACAAATTGATTTCTTTAAAATGCTTATTGCAAATTGTGGTTCGTTAATGAAGGTTGAATAGAATTGCTATTAATTTACAGGGGAATCTTGCCAAGGTGTAATGTGTGGAAGCAGGCTTTCAAAAATGGAAAACAGTTGTATGATATTGTGTTAGCTTTCAATTTATAATAAAGTTAAAGGGGATTTTTTGTCTCTTATTCTATAAGACCATCAGTCTGGTAGAGGTCTGTAATCCAATGAGGAATTTTTAACTAATTTGAAGTAAACAGTAGTTATACAATTTACATTTTTACATTAGTGTTAGTTTATGCTGTATTTTCATTAGAGCACAGAGTAGGTGCAAATAGTATCATTTTATAGGCTAGAAATTAGCTAGTAGTACTTTGAAATAGAAAATATTCATTTAGGTTTGGGGTTTTTTTTCTTCTGTGAGAATTGGTTTACTGACAAATAAGAAAAAGCTTCTAAGTTTTGTCTTTTGCCCTGGAAGAAAAATTACAAGTATTGGAGTAGTTCAGCTTTAGCTAATTGTATGTTCATAATGGAGCATTATGAGCATCCTCCTTTCATTTTCCTTGAAAGGTTTTCTGAAACATAGATTCTCTTATAGGGGGAGAGTGCTTTGAAAATTCAGTTGGTTTTATTCAAGGATTCTTAATCAATCCTATCTTGTTTCAAAAACAAGTTTTCCTTGTTTCGTTTTCTTCACATCTGCAGAGAACACAGCTCTAAGTCTGCTCAGACAGGAAACCAGCCACCAATATTTGCCTTTTTTTTTTTTTTTTTAGGCATAGGGCTTTTCTGGGCTTCATAAATTGTTGATATGAAGCCTAAAGGGTGTCCTGGCAATGCTGGATGATTTTGTTGAGGGACCACCTGACAAAAAATTAGGGCAATATTGGTAAATGGGAATTTTTATATTCATTTAAATGCAAACAAGGTGTGATGCCAAGTTTTGCCAGATTAGAGCTGTAATTTAGAGAACAGCTACCCTTGAGCTTGCCCTCAGATGTGTTTATAAGGAGATACTGCTTCAGCATGAAGTGATCCCAAGAGCCTCAATTGAATTGCTGATGAATGTTTGTTAAAATAATGATATTGTCCTGAGTGCTCAAGTGTTTATTTTTGTGGTCCTTATAGCTGTAACTTGATTACAGAACTTGACTTAGATCTGTGATATTTAAATTGTGAGCAATACACCAAGAAAATTTAGATTACCTTAGTGAATTTTCTTACTTTATTGAAGAATAAACCTTTGCATATTTAAAGCATTGTGGCTGGTGATAGACTTTTTAAAAACTGATTCTCAAAGTGATTGAGTCAAAAATTTGCTTGTGTTTTAAATTAGTCATATAAAATGACAACTGTAAATGCAGTTATACATTTGTATCTTTGTATATCGATCCCCTCCCTAAAAATGTGGATATTTGAGTCCCTAAAATAAACACTGGTTCTGTCCCCAAAACAACACTTGAAAACCTGTCTCATGTTTTGGTGTGGGGTATCAGTAGCTAACTACAAATAATTATCAGATGTCTGTCTCATTATATGCGTAGGTAAATGTATTTAAATCAAGTAACCTTCAAAAAGTACTAAAGGTAAAGAATTTAAAGAAATATTAAAGTGAAATTTCCACATTACTACACAGTTAAAGCTGGAGAAGTTTGAAAATTATGAAAAATGTGAAATGCTTCAGTCTTCTATGTCTTGCATTAGTATTTTTGGATCTGTACTATTTCTGAATTTTGTAACAAAATATGAAGACTGAATCATTTCTTTCCTGCCCTGGGAAAGATTGGCATCAACCTGATTTTTACCATTTTTAGATGAGTATGAAAATTTATCTTTGGTCTTACAGGGCTGACTCTTAAAATAAAATGACTGTCCCATAAAATAAAAGGAAGCAAAACCCATAATGCAAAAGGCAGAGCCATAAAAGGTGAATGGTAAAATGGTAATAGGTGGGTACAATGCAGCTTTTAATTTAATTTTTTAAAGGAAACAAACTAAAAGCACAAAAACATCCCCGAACAAAAGCCAAAGTAAAAGCCTGGTACACCATATCTCAGTACCCTGAGCAGAGGGAGTTCACATCTCTGTTGGTGCACATACAGCTCCATTTTTCCTATTTAATGTGTAGAAATGAAAATATGTTTTCTTAGACACAGTTAGACGTGAAGTGCTTTTTGTAGGAGAGAAGTGTGAACAATATTTCTAAAAGCTTTTTTAATTGCATTTGCCTAAGCAAGATGTGAAAAAATTTGTTGGGCAGTTGAGCTCCTGACAGATTCTTTCTTGGCCACGAGAGGCAATGTCAAAGGAGGAAGTGTAACCCCACTGCTGTCTCAATTTTGTGCATGTTGAGAAGGAGAGCCTTTATTTTTCAGTGATCTTGTAAAAGGTAATCTTGATGCTCATCTGCTGTTTATCACCTGTAACTTTCCACTTAGGCTATTAGATCTAAATACATGCTTCAAAGAAGTATGAAAGTCCTGTCTAAAAATTCGGTGCTGGTGGTGTGGGGAGCAGCTCCCCTTCACTTACCCTTCCGTAGAAACTTCTTCAAGCCACTGGTTGAAACTGCTCAAAATGTCATGGGTAGGCACAGAGCAGTCTTAAAATTAGCAACAAGGAACTTTGCTTACCTCCTGTGCTTTTCGTTGTGCAGTGTGATGTCCAGGGTCAGAAATGCCTTATGTGGATCGCCAGAATCGCATCTGTGGTTTCCTAGACATTGAGGAAAATGAGAATAGTGGGAAATTCCTGCGGCGGTATTTCATCCTGGACACACGGGAGGACAGCCTGGTGTGGTACATGGATAACCCACAGGTGAGCTGCTCCTGCCAGGAGTTTTCCTGCTTTGTCTCCATTTTGGATTTTCTAACAAATTCGCAAAAGAAAAGTGCGGTTCTGTATTATAGGCCTGGAAGCTGGGGGGAAAAAGTCATTGATGTCAGTGAAATAATTGTAAATCAGTTTAATATAACCAGATGAACCAAATCACACACCTCGGTGTTTAATTCACCTTTAACCGTATGTGGCAGTGTGTGGTTTTCATTGCATATATATTATATTCCTTTCCCTCAATCAATCAGTCATTGAAAAGCAATTTTTAATGAAACCTGCAATTGCAGTCTAGCATGGCTGGTGTATCAGTGAGGACAGCCATTGTGATGGAGAGCAGCCTTTGGATAAAAGCTGCTTTTACAATGTACCTGCATGCCTGTGTTTCCTAGCAGAGGGAAGAACAGATGATTGCTCAAGGTTTGGGCACAGACTGAGAGCGTAGGATCCACGTCAGCTGACAGCTGCCTGCCAGAAGAATATCCGTGTACTCTTCTGCCAGGAGCAGCAGAGTTAAAAAGCATGAGTGTGCTGTTCAAAGGAACCAGCAAAAACAAAATGCAAATGAAGTGCAGCTCGATGGATGTGACTTGTGACTGAAGCATTTAATAGTTCTTACAGAGGAGAAAAAGAATTTCTGCAAATAACAGAGACTTCAAACATTCGATCTCAATGAGTGAAAAGAAGCAACTCAGAGCATGTGGACAAAATCTTGAAGTGCTGTAGAAATTGCAATTCCTCAGGAGTTTTAAGACTTAATGATATTTACAGTGCACACCCAGGCCTAGGTTAGGCCTTTTATTTCACATGTGTAAATGAAAAGGTTTCTTGCAAGAGGCAAATTGAAACGTCTTGATTTTCTTCCACTGCTGTAATTTTGAAGAACTGCAGAGTTTTTATAACTATGTGAAGGCCTTTCTATATCCTTGAAGTGATTGCAAAATATGTGAGATGGCCTTTGAAGTGTCTGGCATAATAGATGAATGTCACTTCTTGTCCCTTCCGCCTGCCCTGGTCAAAGTACATGAGACTCCAACATCTGTTAAGGAAAAAGTATTCTTTCCGGATTTCCTGGATGCAGACCCACAAGAATCCTTTTTCCTCTAGTAAAATACATAAACCTCTGAAACAATTACTGTTTGTATTGTTTCTAGCAGTCTTTCTGTTTTTAGTTAGCAGATGTGTGTATAATAAACAAGTCGTTTAGATCCTGTTTTAAGCCTACATTGTGCATTGTCTATAAAAATATGTAGGATTTTCTTTTTGTTTATGGAATTACTTGTTTTTTATGCATAAACACTGACTGTGGCATGAGAATAAAGTAGTTTCACTTTGTAACATGTGTGATTTGTTTCAGAATCTTCCCTCTGGATCTCCACCTGTCGGGGTCATTAAACTTACCTATATTTCAAAGGTAAGATAATTAATATATGAGACACTCATTAAATTCTCAACTTCAGACAAATTTAAATGCCACGTATTCATTTTGCTTCTGTGATACTCCTGAATTAGAGAAGTGTTAAAACACTTCAATAGGTTCAGGTTAAAATAAGAACAGATTAATTACTGCGTTGTCTAAGTTTGTTTAGTGATTTCAAACAGCAGCTCTTTGTGCTCATAAAATTGACATTTCAGTTCTTTATGAGTATTTGAATTCCCATTAGTCTTGGAGAAAAGACAGGCAATTTATAAAGGGGAAGATGTCTTTTGGGTGTGATACTTTGCAGGTAATGATGATTTTTAGTAGACAGGACAGAAAATTTTCTAAAAAATAGTTCTTTACACTGTATATACGGTTAGTTCTAAATATGTCTGAAAGGGAACTGTGAGCTAAGAAAGTTTCAGTGGTTAAATTTATAGCAGATGCTGCATTAACAAATAAATGGAGAAAAATACTTCACCTTTTCATGTCTTTCTGCTCATTTCTCATCTTCCTTTGCACTTTTTGTTGTCAATACTGCATCTTCCCACTTCCTTGATTGTCTTTCATTTTTGTTTGTTTTTAATTCTCTTTATCATTGTGCCCAACCACCTTGCTGTGCTGCTAATCTTTGAATTTACCCACTTGAAAGAGAAAAAACTTGTGATCTCTGATGTGTATATTGTGACATTTATAATCTTAATTTCCTTTCTAGGTTAGCGATGCAACTAAGCTGAGGCCAAAGGCAGAGTTCTGTTTTGGTAAGTTTGGCATGTGCTGTGTACATCAAGTGCCTTCTTCAGAAATTTGGAACAAAGATAATGTTCTGCAGTTCTGGTACCAGCTACAGCTGGTGGTGTTTAAAAAATAGCTTGTATTCACTTTCTTCTTTAGTATGATGGAAATGTTGGCTTCCTCATAAGGTGTTTTTGTGGTTTTTTTGTATTGCAGCTTAATGAGGAGTAGGTGAGAGCTGTTTTTTCAGATGTCTGAAATTTTTGAGGCATTAATAAGCAATGAGAGTTGCTTTCAGAAATGTGGCCTGTCTGTCAGCTGGGAAGACAAGAAATTTAACTATTGAAATATTTTACTGATGAAAGAGTTGATTTCATTAATCTAAAAATACTGTCAGCCAATGCTCTCAAGTCAAATTTCAGCTTCTGTTGCTGCACAAAAAAAAAAAAAATCATTCTTGAAGTGCCTTCTAGGTTTAAATTTGTTTAAAATTTACTGAAGCTTTAGATAATCCTAAAGCTCCTCCTGGTTTTAGGCAAGTATCTGGTGTGTCAGTTCAGTGCCATCTACAGATTCCTCTGCACATCCGTGGAGGGCTTTGTCCTCAGCTCTTGTGAAGTTTCTCCTGTTAGCAGGCCAGCTCTAGAACACCTTAATGATCCAAGAGTCTGGCTTAAATATCTCTAATTTATTAAAGAGTTTTTCATGCTTTGTAGGGGAAAAATATAAATGTATGGTCTTTATATTCAGATGGTTTCAATGCCTGTTCACCTTAAAACCTGTTTCAAGAATTAGCCATGATTTTTTTGCTGTTACACTGAAATGTGTTTGTCCTTTTTGGATAAAGGATGCCAGGTGTTGTGAGGTAGAGATATAAACTCATTAAAATATGTTTCTCTGCCAAGTCACTAAAGTAAAATAAAACATGTGTTGTAGCTGTCTTAAAGGTGTTTGGTCCTGTGCATCGTATACTTAGTAATTAATACTGATTTTTCCAGCAATTAAAAATAATTTTTAAAAAGTAAATCAGTGACCATAGTCATGTTCATAATGTCACAAAGGATAACAGATTCCGGGCAGAGGATTAAAAGGAGAAATTGTAGAATTCCCCAGGTACTTGTTGCTTGGGAAATTGAGAAAGAGGAAATAGAACTGTAGAGTATTTTGATAAGATTCAAGACTTCATTTCTATGTCAAAAAGTAATTTTTCAAAGTTTGTATGATGCCATTTTAGTGGAGAGCTTAAATTACTATTTTTTAGAGTAAAGCAATCAAATGGATTTATGTGTTCTTAAGATTACTTTCTAAAATGAAACACAGCAGAGCACTTAAATACTTTAAATGGAATTTTCATCTGAAATCAAATATTTTCATAATGATATTAAGTTTGCTCTTAAATTTCAGTGTTGCTAACTTTTCATAATGATTTTCAACAGTTATGAATGCAGGGATGAGAAAATACTTTCTACAAGCCAATGATCAGCAGGACCTAGTTGAATGGGTAAATGTTCTGAACAAAGCTACCAAAATCACAGTAAGTGGTTGAGTTGATATTTAGCAGTGCTTTCAAATGGTGACTGTCTCAAGGTGTTTAAATGTAACCTTTGCCTCCAGTTTCTATCACCACAAACAAGTCTTGGCTTGACTTTCCAATACTTGGAGAAACTGTACAGAACTCCCCCTAAATTTGAGTTTAACTTACTTTCTGGAAATTGAACAAAAGATAATATTTTTAATTTTGGCATAGGATTTTTTTCAAATAATTTAAAATTAACTGTGCATACTTAATATTATTTGAAATATCCAGAAGACACTAGCAAGCAATGAAAAGATACACATACTTTTACCTAGTGTCAAAAGTTGGTATTTCTTAATTATCACTAAAACACTGATCAAGCTCCAAAGGCTCTCTCCTGATTTTGAGTAACATTCATGCAAAGAAATATTGATAGTTCTTCTGGTAAATGTTAAATTGCTTTTCTGGGTTGTACCAGGACACGTTATCTCATGATAGAAACCCCCACGTGTTATCTCAGTCTTTTCAGGAGGCAGAAGTTATGGTTTTGTTTTCTCCAGTTTTGGGGAAGTGATGACAGTGAACACTTCTGAGAGCACACCCTGACAAAGAAGGGGCTCTGAGCATGGGTGCACACATCTGTGTTTGTTTTCAGTGACTTTCTCATTCTTGGGTTATCTAAGGATGATTGCATGAGTTCTTCACATTGTTTTAATATAGCCCATTCTTTGGAGTTATAAAAATGCTACTGCTAATAATAAATTAAAAAAAAACCCAGAAGTACAAAGCCTTCTCACTTGGGTTTTTCATAAAGAGGATGCACCAAAACCAGGACTGAGCTGTTTCCAGTTGAAGAAATTAAGTGCATAAATAAATAAATAATTGCATCAATTTAGAGTGAATGCTGCTTATCATCTGTTTATCTGGCATTTTAAATGGCTGGTGAAATCATTAGTGTTTTGTCTTTGAAGGAGCAAGCCTTTGAACTGTTCATCTGTTCACAGCTCGAGTATGGCATTAAGTACGGCCAATTATTGAATCAAATAATTAAGATCACTCAATTATTATTTTAATACGAACATTACTTGCTGCAGATCGTAATCCTCCAAGATTCATTGCATGTTTTAGTCCTCTTGAGTGCTGATAATGTCAGAATGACTGAGCCTCTGCAGCCTAGCACGCTGTGTACCCGTTTTGGAGTGCTGTTTGAAAATGCCTTTGTGTGAGGAGGTGGTTGTGGGCTTGGTCTGCAGCATTTTCAGTAGGAGTTTGTGACAGCTGAAGCACTTGCCCACAGAGCTGTAGCTGCAAGCCCCTGCTCTTGAAAGGCTGAGGCTCATGGATGTCTTACCCTTCAGTGCTGGACTTGGCTGGGGATGGAGTCACTGTGGCAGCAGGACACTGTCCTGGGCTGACATCTGCTCTCTGCACTGCCTGTGCTTCTCTGCAGCCTGCATTTTGTAAAATAAGCAGTCCTGGGCACAGGAACTTGAATCACAAATATAAATATGGTTTCTTGTCTAGATCAGTTCAGTTCCAAGTTTTGAATGTGTCACAGTCTTGGATGGACAATTTGTGTGTCCTTCTTTCTGAAGGAGTTTGGATGTCTTCTGGAAATACCCAGTAGGTTGCTGGGTGGGGTATCTGGGTGTGAGACTTGATCTCTTCTTGTTGAAGTCACTTCAGATTTGCTAAATTAATATTGGAGGTGAAGGAGATGAGATATGAAAAAGGTCTTGCAGTCAGTGCATTTCTTACGTCAAAGAAGTTTACTCAGAAAACAGTAAATATTTTAGATCAAAAACACTTATAGGGAAATCAAACTCCTGTGCAGTTTTGATGGCTTTAGTTCCACATTTGAGACAATTATCTGATAGTTACTGATAGGTAGGGAGGGTCATTTTGGACAGAATTTAACAATATATGTATGATTAATGGGAGCAGAAACACAATCTTCATTTCAAGTACACGTGAGGACAAATGTCACACTGGTCAGACACCCTGTGTGACCAAAGTCCCAGTTTATGGCCTTGCTGTGCTGGCTCTGCAGGCACTGGGGCGTCTCCACTTTCTTACTAAAAGTGAAAGCAGCTGAAAAATAAAGAATCAGTTCTATAAATTAGCAGTGCTTCTTGAAGATTAAATGAAGCTCTTTATGGCAAAGCTTGCAACTGATTTCATCCACTGAGATATCTTTATTGGCACCACTTTTCTCTTGAGCACTAAAGCAAAGTCATTACAACAAATTCTTGTGTACACCATTTGTTAAATCCTGCTGAAAATGCCTCAAAATGCTTGAGTAATGTTTAGGGTTTTTTTTCCATGAAACTGATGTCAGTTCTCACATTCTAACTGCAGGTACCAAAGCAGTCTGATCCTCTCTGCCAAATGGATAATGCAAATCGTCAAGCTGAAAGCCCAGGTGGAAAGAAGCAAGTCTCTTACAGGACAGAAATTGTTGGTGGTGTTCCCATCATTACACCCACACAGGTAATACTCTCCAAACAAGTGAGTTTTCATTTGACACACAAAGCTGTACTTTTATATGCACCTTTTATTCATACTGAGTGGGGGTTCTGAGGATTTTATTCCCTTTATACAAGATTTTAAAGAATTGCTGGAGTACAGATTTTTTTTTGCTCACCCATGCCTGTTAGTATAATAGTAATAATTTTGTCTGTGTGAAATTAATTGTTGGTGTTAACAATTATGAGGTTCTGGCCCTTTAACAGAAAAAAAGGGGAAAAAGTTGTAAGGAAAAGTGGGGAAAAAGTTTGAGAGGCTGGACAAGCTTATGGAAGTAAAATCTGTGCAGTGCTAAAGATAGAACTGAATCTGTTGCTGAAAGTTGCCTGAGCTGAAAGTAGTTACACATTAGATAAATATCATGTAAATGACATGTATGCTCCCAAAATGCATTAAAAAAATTGGTGAATTCTCATGTCTTGTAGTCCTAGAAATAATTTTTGGGTTGCTGTAGTCATCTCTCATGTTTTGCCCATGTTACAAGTTTGCACTAAATGCATGCATGAGTTTAAATCTGTACCATTTTTTTACTGAGTTTGTCAATATTATCTGAAAATACTCAACACTTTCTTAGTTTAGTTTCTAAGAGCAGCTTTCAAGCACTCAGCCCTCGGGGAGTCTCAGTTGTGTCTGGAAATCAGTTGAAATATTTTGTTCTTTCAAGTTGGAAATGGGATTTATGAGCATGGGATGATAAATTTATTTCCTATTGTAACTACTATAGTTATTCCTTGACCTTTAGAAAAAGAAACCTGAGAGTATTTTGAAGTTTCCTGCTTTTATTTGTTCTAGAAAGAAGAAGTCAGTGAGGGCAGTGAAGGGGCTGACAGGAATTATTTGAAGCGGTCACAAAGTCACCTTCCTTATTTTGCTGCTAAGCATCCCCCAGATAATGCCATTATCAAAGCTGGTTACTGTGTCAAACAAGGAGCAGTGGTAAGTATTAGTAAAAACAAAAGACAATTGACAGTGATTTTATTACTTCTGACAGTAATAAGGATTAACTAAATATAAAATTTATCCTCCAGTGGCACTAAATTTTTATCTGCATTATTTCTTTTCATGACTTTCTTTAGTGTTGTGCTGTTTAAGATTTTAAAGAGGCAAAATGTGTGCACAGACTTCCATGTGATGGTTAGTGCATGAAGCTGGGAATTCTCCTGTTCTACATTCTGTAGAGATCTTTATTTTGCTTATTCAAAACAGTTAAATTGGGACAGAAGTTCAGTGCCTGCTTTTTAAATCAGTAAAATATTTAGAAGAAGCTGATTTCTCAGTTCAGAGGAAGAAGTGTACAGCTTATCAGACTGATTAACACAAGTGGAGCTATTCATGTGATGCCTTGCTAGAAGAAGGAACAGATAGTTCAGATTAAGCAAGATACACATCTTTGAGTTCTCAGACTCTTTTTATCTTGGATTATGAAGCTTCTTTTCTATGACATCCCTTTTTTAGTTAAAAATAAACTAAAAACCTGTGATGTATTGTCTTTCCATTTTTCCTACAGATCAGTTCTGCTGCTGAGTTTCTGCAGTTTGAATAAATCTTAGAAAACAGTAGCTTAAAGAATTTTTAATTTTTTCAGTTTTCAAAATAATTTATTAATTGTGCAAAGTCATGCATAATTATCTTGGGGACACTAAAGATGCAAAATTTGTAGTTATAGTAAGCTGCAATGAAGACATTCAGAGTTAATAGTTATGAATAAATAGGAGTTATACAATATCATATACTACAAATAAAAACTAGAATGGTAAATATAATTCAATATATTCATAATACATGACATGTAAGTCTATTTTATTTTATTTATAAAATATATACATATTTATTTCTTTTCCTTTAACAGATGAAGAACTGGAAGAGAAGATACTTTCAATTAGATGAAAACACAATAGGATATTTCAAGTCTGAACTGGTAAGTTTCCAAGTCTGTGTTCTCTTCCTGTGATAGTTGCAAGAAATTCTGAAGGAATATGCTTGTGTTTGAGAAATGTGCTCTGCTGCTCCTGCAGCTCTTGAGTTTACTGCAATAACTTTTCATGATTGGGAAGAACAAAAAAATTACTGGGGCAACTGTTCAATCTGGGAACTTGCCTGTAGGGCACTGAAGAACAGTAATAAAATCTACTCTACAGTCACCCTGATTTTTATATTAGTACTTTGTCATTTTGCACTCTCATAGAATTAACTGTGTTGTTGAAACAGCTGATAACTGTGGGAAAGATAAAACTGCAATTCTTCATTTAAAGCTAGTATTATGCTTTATCATCCAGATGATGGGATCTTCTCCTACACATTTGTTTCACTCAGGCAGCCAAGATGGACAAAAAACTCTTAATTTTCTGTTCAACGCCAACATTTGTAGAGTTGCTTTTAGTTTCATGACCTTTCTTCTCCCTTGTCACTCTGAGTTTTTGACTGATTTTGACCAGATGTACCTTCAGGCTTTATTTTAAAATTAAATAGCTGGTTCTGAAGACAGTTAAGTGTGGCATTTGTTTTTTGGGAAAACAGACTAAATGTAAGAAAATCTGTACCTAAGGAATGAAACCTGAATTTGTTGAGTGTTATAAATTAAGGAGAATTGAGTTTACAGGCCAAACATCAGATGTAAAATGTCAAGAACCCAAATTTCAGGTCGTTTCTGAAGTTAACTTTGATTTCATTTCTAATGAGGGCATCTGCAACAGTAGCAGGGGTTTGATCTTGCATCATTATGTTTGTTAAGCTGTCAGCAGAACAATTCTGACTCATTGCCTGTAAGAAACCCTCAATTTTTATTTAAAAAACAAATCTGAGCTCAGATTGCTCACAAACAAGTTCTAACCCAGTGAAGAATTGTACTGTGGGAGAATATAATAGGAATACTTGCACTTTTAGTGTTTCATCATGTTCCTGAGCCTGTGTCAGTCCACAGGAGCAGAGTGGAATACAGGCAATATGAGACTCAGAAAATGATCATTTCTGAGCTGGGGTTTTCTCTCCAAGATGTGTCTGTACTCCAGACATGCAGTTCACAGTTGATGCATTACTTTGGAAATGCATTTTAATGGGTGATTGAATCTAAGAACAACTAAGAAAAGAGGAGCACTGTAACTGAAAACTTTGGGTTTTAAACTTTCTACATTTGATCTGCTATAGAGCAAAATGATCTAATTGAAAACTGCTCTTGGAGGATGGTGACATTTGCTGCTTGCTCAGCATAAATCTCCTAAGTTATAGAAATAGTAAGAGAAGTCATTCCAGAGTTGAAAACTTTTGTTTTCTTTGGAAGTTGTAGCCAGCTGAAGCAATCTGTTGTAACTTAGCTTAAAGAAAACAGTAGGAGGTAAAATAAGTTGTTGTTTGTTTGTGGTTTACTGCAACAGCCACTGGAAAATAATAATATGTGTGACATTATGTTGTCATGGGAAAAGTGAAAGTGTTTCTGTTTGAATGTTCTCACTTTTTTCCTGTTGTGTGAAACTTTAACACTTATTTTCATTATGGTAACAGAATTTCTGAATGCTTTGAGAGTATTTGCTCTTTTGTAGGTGTTAAGGACTGGTTTCTTTGTAGTACTTTTAATTTATTAAGTCTAGGATACAGTTAATCTTACTTAAAGCCATGTCATGCAGTCCAATTAACAAAGCATCTTCTATGGTAGCATTTCATAGCAAATTAATGTAACCAAAATTTTAATGAAATGAGCTGCTTGAGGCAAGGGTCAGTTGTCTGATCTGGTTAGGGGAAGAGGACAGGGTGATTGTCTTCATTATACTATGGAATTAATGTTTTGGAAGGTTTTACTTCTTGATTTGTCCTCTTCTTATTTGCAAGTGCCATGGTTGGTTTCATACTTACAAAAGCAAATGAAATATTGGTTGACACCACTTTTTTCATAAGTGACTGCCTTGGAAGTCTCATTTATGTAAGACTGCTGCTGACCTGGCCTCTGGCTTTCTGTTCTAGTTGTTAGATACACTGTACTAAAACATGTTTCTTTTTTCAGGAAAAGGAACCTCTCAGGGTTATACCACTTAAGGAGGTCCATAAAGTTCAGGAGTGCAAGCAGAGGTGAGGAGGGAAGCACTGATGGCATTACATGGGATGGAATTCCCTGCTTGGTCATGGCCAAGCTTCTCCTTGGAGAATTATTCAATAACTGCACTTGATGTGTGCATGTTCTTTCTTTATGGGACAGCACACTGTTGTGTGCATTAAATGGATTTTGAGGGTTCTGTATTAATGTTTCAAACTTGCAAATCTGGACAAGAGCAGAACAAGGGAATATCATGGAACCCAGAGTTAGAGATGTGTGGGTGCTACCTGATCTGAGGCAGCAATTTTCTATTCTGCTTACATAATCTCTAAACCTTTAGAGGACATGAATTCATGTTAGAATGAGATGGATGAATTAACTCAGGATGAATCTGGCTGAGAACACTCTTCACCCTGCTGTTTCCCCTCTACCAAATGGCAATATACTAAAGAATAATTGTTTTTGTAGCACTTGAGAGATACTGATTTTTCTATTTTTTTCTTTAGCAGGCTACTTACAAAAATTTGACTAGAATGATAAATATTTTTAACTTAACATATGATTTAGAATGTTCCAGTTAAAAACGAGTGATAAATATTTTTAGACTAAACATTATATTAAGTGTTCCTGTTAGAAATACATGTTGTAGCACACCTGCCACTGGTAAACTAAAGAGTCATAGGGCTAAAATTAGTAAAAAACCAATAGTAGAGTGATAAAGAAATGCAAAAGTCAGCAAATGCTCTGATTCTCTGCCAATTCTACAATTTTGTTAAAAATACAGTGGAAAAGTTGTACTTGCTTTTGAACTATTTTTGTATTTCATTTTCAGTGATATAATGATGAGAGACAATCTCTTTGAAATTGTAACAACTTCTCGAACCTTTTATGTACAGGTAATTTCTTTTTTTAAACTTTGGTCAAACCCAAGGGACTGCCAGAGTTAAATACACTTTAGAAGTGAAATAGCAGCACTTCTTCACTTTGATTTTCAGAGGCAATGTGATCTTCAGGATATTTAATTTGCTTTATATATCTGTATACATTTAACAGTAGATTCAGACCTTCAGAAATGTGTGGGTTGAGAAAGGAAGGGTTAGGTGTTTGTTCTGCTGCAGGGGGTGGGCCAGTGGGCAGGCTGAGAGTCGCTGCTGACCGTGGTGTTGTTGTTGGCTGCAGGCAGACAGCCCTGAGGACATGCACAGCTGGATCAAGGCCATTTCTGGGGCCATCGTGGCACAGCGGGGACCGGGCAGATCGGCGGCTTCCGTACGTCACCTGCACCTCGCAGGAGATGCCATTAGCTCCTGGTCACTTGTGCCATGCACTCCTGGTTTTTTCCTTTTGCCTTTCCTCTCTCCTGTCCTGTAGTAACGTGGCCTCTCTGCATGAACTTTCAACCAGACTGGTGTCGAATACTTTGTGTTTTTAATGGAGCACTTTTTTAGTCCTATCTGTGACTTTCTGTGCGTTGTCTTGAACACGTAGAGAATGCAGTGCTAACCTAAAGAAGTCCACTATGATCTGTCACTATTACTAGTTTGGGAGTTCAATTAAAACTTTCTAATTCCTGTGAAGTGTTTCTGCTAACTGCTGTGTTTTGCAGTGAAATTACAATATCCTAATTTCTTTGTAACAACTCTCACTCCAAAATTGTGGTTCTCTGTTGCTGGTAGTTTATTGTATATGCAGATGATACAGATGAAAATTTAAAGTAAGAGATTGTGCTCACATGAATGAGTACTTGCTGTTGGAAATGCAGTGAGAACAGCATCTTGCAGTACTGAACTGGGGCACTGTGATAAGTGTTAATATTTCTGAAGCCACGTGGATGCCAGCATTTCATACCTACTAGCATTTAAACTGTATTAGTTGTTTAGCACAAAGGTCATTAACTTGTGGAAAGTAGTGGGGATTACTCTGGTGTCACAGTGTCTCCAAGTATGTCCACATGTAGCACCAGGAATATTTCACAGTTCAGGTATTGCATGCTGTGTTTTTCATTTTCTGTCTCTGGGATGTTTTGTAATAAAATGAGTATATCATTACCCCCATAATCTGAAATCTAGTAATTCAAACCTGGCTTTTGACTATAAATTTACATTGATACCATGTTTCTGGTAAGTCAGCCTAAGCTCTCAACCAATTTTTGGTAACTGCTTCATGCTTTTATTTAAAACTTCCTGTCACAAATTTTCTCTTTGTGGGGGCAATGAAAACACGCAGGTAACTTTTCTTTCTGTATGCTTTTTTCCCTTTGGTTTTTTTGTTTTGTTGTGGTTTTTTTTTTGTGTGGGGCTAACTGAGCAATGTAGCTATGACTGTCTGCATCACTTCTTGTTCCCTCTGTTGTCCTCTCTCCCAAGTCCAGGTGACTCTAATCTTAGCTTTGCACTGTGTTCCAGATGCGGCAGGCCAGAAGGCTGTCGAATCCTTGTATACAGAGGTATACATCAAGAACTGGTGAATGCAGCACGTATGTGGGCTCTCATGGAAACTCGCCTTCTTAACAGAGGGCTAGCACTAGACACTAATTTGCACTATAAAGCAAACTAAAAAAATTATGCTACCTGTTGTCATTACCATTACTGAAAACTAACTCATCAATAATATCGTTCACTCACAGGTTTGCACTGTTTTTTCTTGCTTTAAAAATGATTGGAAATGAAAAACACCAGAACCACTGCTTATATGTCAAAGCACAGTAAATATTTAAACTCAAGTGATGTCATGTCACTTTAATAGGAAAGTACTAAAGCTAATTTGCATGAGAGTTCATATTTCCATTTTACTTTACATTTGCCTTGAAACTGCTCAAAAGCAAGATTTAATTGAAGCTGCCCACAAACTAATACAGATGAGTGCACACAGAACATGCACGTTGTAACTCTAGGATTTGGAAGGGTCTATAATAGCCTGGTTTGCATGGCTTAAGAGATCTCTGCATGAAATGATTAGTTCAAACATAGAAGCATTATATAATAATGTATAATCAATACACTGTTCAAAGCAGGGCACCTCAGGAGTAGTGCAGCAGCACAGTGTCTTAACTGTGAAATTATAGCCAGTGTGGGTAGTAAAATCTGGGTATCCTTCAGGGCAGCTTAGCAAAAATTCAGACATCTTGTCCTAATATCCCTTTTGTCCTATTTGGTGAAGTAAAATTACTGCTTAGAAGAAGAACAGTAGGTAAAGCAGTGAATCATAAGTTGTCCTAAAACAAACTTTTTTCCTTACGTGGAGTATCAAGTGAGGTCTGAAATAAGGCAGTGTAAATGATGTGAAATAGTTTAATGAAACTGAGCACCAAACTCAAGTCCAAAAAAAAAGTTGCACAGGTTCATCCAATAACATTAAGCTCACTTATGAAAAGAAATATGGTAGTACTTGGCAGAATCTATTTTGATTAAATTGATTAATTCATATGTCATGATAATGTCATAACATCCTAAAAGAAACTTGAAAAACTACTGTGGAAAAAATAAGTATTTAAATTAGGATACATATTTGCATCTTGGACACACATCTGTGATGGGTTTGGGGTTTTTTTTGGCTAACAAATGTGCTTGAGGAATGCCTTGATTTGTGTGTGCACATGGGTTGGCAGATTCCTTTAGTTCCTGGACTAACACTGGTGATGGCAGAACTGGCAGCAGCTGCAGCTCCCAATGCACACACAGTTCACTGCAACATCACACAGAGCATTTCAAACCCAGCACTGCTCAGGGATTTGAGACGTCCTGACAGAACTGATGGATGCAGTGCAGAATCCAAGGAACTTCTTGTTCTGTTCAGGTCAGGCTACCCCAGGACATCCACATGGCATTCCATGCCTGTGCTTCAGACAACTAAATCATTCCTGGGTAGTCTGGGGACTTGTTTCTGTCAGTAAGTAAATGGTGGAAGATTAATTTGATAGTTATGTAAAGGTCAGCAGAATGATGATAATAAACACAAAACAATAAATTGAATGAAAAGAGTAGCTTAAGTATCAGTTTCTTTCCTAGATCATTAACTTTGGAAATTTTTATATAATCTTCATAGCTTAAAATTTTTGTTTGGTCCTTGGGAGAAATGGGGGAGAACTGATACCCCAAGAAGAGGGAACAGTAAAATGTGCATTACTTCAGGATTCAGGATACAAGCGCTTGGTTTACATGAATAAGTCTAAATACATTTTTCTTTTGGAAAGATGTGAATTTCAATGGCCTTTAAAGTGTGCATCTCCAAGAGGTTATTTAACATCTTAGTAAAATGAGGAGCCTCAGTTTGCTGGACTATATTATAAAGTCTACAGAGCTGCTGTGCTTGATTTAAGATTTAATTTCATCCAATGCAGCAGCTGATGTGGCTGTCACATCCTGCTGTGAGCTCACGCTCAGTAAAGCAGTGCCTCGAGAAAGCACCTGCCTCCTGCTGCCGTGGCTGATGCTTCGCTTTGTGTATTTTCTGTCTCGATTTTTTTTTTGTTTGTTTTTTTGTTTTTTTTTTTTTTGTGAGTGTGAGATCTGAAACTACATCTTTCCAACGTGACATCAGCGAACTTCACCTGCCACATTTCCCTTCTTTTTCCAGGAGCATCCCGAGTCTTCTTCCGAGCCCGGCCATGCTGTCCGTGCTGCCGGCTCAGCCGCAGGCAGCTCACATTCCACAGCCCCTCACAGCAGCCCTGTGGTCCCAGCCCCTCACCCCAAACCCCCTGCCTTGGAGAAGCGAGGATTTCACGAGTCTTTTACCAAGGCCAAGCCAAGGAGCTACAAGATCCAGGCTGTCGCTGCAAGAGAATCAACTTCCAAAGTGACTGAACGGGGCCCCTGGGAACCCCGGAGCAAAAATGGCACTCAGGAACAGGATCCTGGCCTTGTGGATCTGGATGATGCAAGCCTTCCAGTCAGCGATGTGTAGGGATGGAAGAGTTTGGAGAATGATCCATTTGTTCGGTCCTTTTAATTTCCTTGCTCGGACTTTGAACCAAAGAAAATTCCAGGAAATGAGAACAAAAAAAAATAAAAAATAAAAAAACAAACCAACTGGAGCACTGCTGTTATATATATGTATGTGTGTGTTCCTGTGCACACATGGGTATATATAATGTGTTTGTGTGTTGCCTTTCAGCTGAGGGTCAGAGATGGACCTTAGGCGTTTTCTCAAAGCCTGATAGTAAATCACTTACTAGGGAGGGGCCAAACTGCACAGTTTAGGAAAAAAAAAAACCCAACCCAAAATGCATTAAAAAAAAAAAAAAAAAGTACTTCTGCAAGTAAGCAAGGTACCAGCAACTTCTAATTCCTAATCTGGCAGATTTACTAAATTTGCAACTAATCCTCTATTTTGGAGAACTTGTTGCCAACAAATGTGATTATTTAATTTCATCTTAAACTACAGTAAGATTTTAGGCATATATGAGAATTTTTTCTCTCCGTGACTTTCAGATACCAGGAAATGCACAAAATGTTTCTTCTGTTCTTTAGGATCAACAGTGTCAACTGATTTGTTATCAGAACAAGAATTCTGAACTCCCTTGGAATTCTAGTTATGGTGCTGTAAAATTTCCACTAAAATAATATTTTGAATAGTCAGCCTATTTTTGATGCACTCCTAAAGGTGGGTTATAACTTTTTGCACATTTGGATTTCCATGGACTGCATGTAGTGGTGTTTTGGAGGGGGGAGAAGAGAATTTGGACTTTGGACACTTTAGATCTTTTTAACTAAGTAGGGTTTATGTTGTGTTACATTAGGCTTTGCAGCAATTATGTTTTCTTAAATGTTTAAATGTTAATTGTTTGGTTACTGTTTTGAGAATGATTTCCTTCCCAGTGCTTTGTGAACAGTTCTTGTTCCTGTATTGATCAGTGGAAGAGCTCCTTTAGTTGTGTTGTTATTGGTACTGAACTGTTCCTAGTCCTGCAATCGTGGCCTATAACTTTTGGTGCACTAAGAATCTGAAGTGCCTGTGTTTTCTCTCACGTTGTTGAAACACTTTTGGGTTAGTGATGTACACAGACCATTCTTACTGGGTTTGAGCATTGGCTTGGAGTTGCTCTGGATAGCATAGTTTGAAACAGCTCTTTAAAATAAAACAAGGTTTATGCCAGGGGTACCAGTGTTCTGGTGTTGCACCCACTGCTGTGCAATATGTGTTCTTAAAAAGTGAGTATTTGTTGTTTGTGTACATTGTGTTATGGGGCATCAGTGATGCCAGCGAGGAGAACCTTTACATTTCAAGTATTGGATTAGATGGTGTGTACTTTTCATCAGTTTTGGAAAAAAATGTTTGCTTTAACCCCAACCCCACAAATATCTCGTGCTGCTGCTTATTGTGATCCCGATTGTCCAGCTCTGTGAGACTTTTTGTCTACTGGAACCTAAGATACATATCAGGCAAGTCCATCTTCTCTCCAACTTCCAAACTGACTTCCTGCTTGAGAGATATGGATGGCTCTACCACAGCAATTTGTTGATCCCTAGACAGAATAATTGGTGTCGTATAAGAATGAAATATAATTAATTTCAAAACCTTAAATTATATCAGCACCTTCTTTTGGTTTTGGTTTATTTTTTTTTATCCATAAGCTAACTTACCACTGTCTTAAGGCAGTGGTGTCTGTAAATTACTGGTTTTGTTTGACTTTAGATATATGTGAAAACTAGCACAGAATTGGAAATAACTGTAAATGTCTGTACTAGTATTGTAGGTTTTAATTTCTATAAAAATAAACCATTAGCTCTTTAAAAGCTTATTTTTTCACAAGTACATTCTGTGTGGAAGACACTTTGCATTGTAATATTTTTACTGTAGTCTAACATCTGAAATCACTTGCTCTGGTACAGCTTTCACACTGCATGGTCATTTTATTATATTTTGGTATTGGCAATTTTACACATTGGGTGGAGGTAAAGCAGCTCCATTATGGGACTTACAAAAAGAGGGAAAAAAAGAAAAACGAAAAAAGAAATGAACTACTGTTGTAGTTCAGTAGCATAGGGAAATATTTGTGGGTGGTCACTGTCAGGGTCTCCTATTTATCAGTACTTTTATAAATCTATGAAAATTGTTAAATTATTTTAGAAACAGTGCTGTAAATACGTCACATTTAAATTGTCAATAAATCAGTTTGGGTAACTTAAAATAACATCTGGTTGAGTTTCTTTTCACCATGACAAGTATTTGATCAGAGCAATATATTCTTTTTCAGCGTATCAAAGGTCAGATTGCCCTTTATCCAGCCATAGCATCTCTAATTCTTCAAATCTAATCAGGTTGTGTAGCCTAAGAATGAAATTGAGCAGACTGAGCTGATTTTTCTTGTGCTGTTCTCGGTTTCTTCTCTGGAAGTTTTACATGTTATGCAAGGGATATTGATTAAAAAAAATATCCCAGGGGAAGAAAATGTAATGTGGATTTTTCTGTCTTTATACTGATGGGTCAGGAGAGTTTTCTCTCAGAGAAGCTTTCCTGAAATACAAACTGGACACATTTACCCGGATTCCACTGCCACCACCTGGCTGTTGCACTCTGCCCTTCACTGAAGAGAAAATCAAATTGTTCTCCATGGCTACAGATTTAAACCCACTCTGTTAAAATAAAATATTTCCAGAAAATGGACCTGCTGACTGCAGTGCGCATTCCTGGAGGCACCTGCTGAGCGGTGATGCTCCAGGATACAATTTAACAAAGTGGAATATTCCTTAACCTCGTGGAATATCAGGATATCAGCACCACCTAGAGGTCACACTACAGCTTTAAAAATCATTGAAGTCTAGTACTAATTTACTTTTAAAGTGTATTTCATACTTAAAAACTGATCTGGAGACTATTTTTTTTTAATGTTTTATGGTAAGTATTGTAATAGATGGAGAAATTACAGAGTGCACCTAATATGTACACTCTGAAGGTGTGGAACAGAAATATTACTGTTGTTTTAACAATTCTATTTTAAATAGAGGCGAGAGAGAAGGGAAGAAATGAAAGAAGCGGAAATATTGGATAGGGAATTTTAGTCCAAAAGTTGAAATTAAAGCAGTGAAGCCCTCTGTGCTGTGTGTAGTTTAGCCTTTTAACAATTTCATTTAATGTCTTAATAGTCATCTGAACTTTGTAGAACAGCCTCGAAATTACTTGATGCTCCAAACCAGTGAGCTGCTGAGGCCCTTCTGAGGTGAAGTGAAATAGTGAAATACTGAAGGCAGCTCTCTGGAAACTCAAACCTAAATCCTGCCCTGTCTGCCTGGATTTTCCACTTGAGATTTTCAGTGCAACCTCTGAGGAAAAGAAGCTGGTACTCATTTGTGAAGGCACTACTAATGGCGTAGTAGTTGTTGAACGCTGCCCTTCAAAGTGTCACTTTGGACGCTGTAATTAGGGATTTGAATTTCAAACGAGTGGAATTTGGCATATCAGGATGCGCAGTGAGCGCATCTTGCAAGAATTCAAACGCGCCGCGTTCTCCTGCCGGGCACTCGGGACACCCGAGTCACCCCTGCTCTCAGCAGACGGGTGGCAGCTGCGGGCTCGCAGGGCAGTGGGTTTGTTTTCTGTAAATTCTGTACATTTCTGTAAATCACCGAGTTTCGGCGCTTGTTTCACAGTCTGCAGTGTGCTACGTGCGCTCCTGCTGGTAGGTTTGCCCTCCGACAGGAAGGAAATGCCACCTGACCACAAAGACACGCTCGGTGCAGATTAGCAATTGTTTCTTGGGGCAGGTCGCTTGGCTTCGTGTCAGCCTTTACAAAAGACACCCTGATGGTTCATTTAGTTTGTAAATTATGCCAGCAGTTAATGCTTGTAATCTACCAGGGCTAGATGGTATCAGGAAGAGAACGTGGAGTTTTAAATTCCCTGGTTTGAAGCCATTCTCTTTCAAAGCGGTGGCATTTTTTTTTTCTCTGTGTATAGCAATGAATCTAGTTTTTAAAAAGGTTTGTTTTTTCTTTGTTTTTTGTAAGATTTCTCTTGTTATGTTAAAGTGGAGTAGTCCTGGGTTTTTGGGAAGTGGGAGAAGGGGTGTTACGCCTTTTCCCCAGAAAATGTGAGAGGAAGCCGTTAAAGCATGAAGCAAAATTATTATAATAATGAAACAAACAGACAGAATAAAGCTAGAAAATCCTTCTACAAAGTCCAAGATGTTGGAGTTTGCTCAGACTATCAACATTCCAGCCTTCCCCAGCCTCCTTCATCCGCTTTTCTGGCCAGGACACTTCTAGACTCAGATTTTACGCTTTTTTTCATCCTTTACTTGCTTCCCCCCTTTCCATGTGTGCCCAGGTGCTCCGAGGTCGCATTGCAGGGCAGGGCGGGGTGGCACAGCATCCCTGGGTCCCTGGCAGCAGTGTCCCGACTCCCATGCCTCTAGGAGAATTTCTAGCGTGTGATCTCTAGGTGGAGCCTCCTATCACCCAGTTCCTTTTGAAAAGTAGAAGATGAGGAATTTTAGCACTGAGACTCTGGAGTGGTTTTTTTTTTTCAGACCACGCTTTTGGCCTTTCTTAATGTCTGCTGGCTTGGGGAGCTGTTCTATGTCAGGTGGGGCAGAAATAATAATTGTGGGGTGTGCAGTGCATCTCAGGTCTAAGGCACTTGTGCACAGATCAGATAGACAATTAACAAATCTATTTTCAGTCAGCTAATTTATAAACCTCCCCAAAGACTCAGTTATTTTGGAAAGCAAGACATTTATATTCAGATTCTGTGTACTTACATGACAACTATAAAATTAATATAATAAAATGTCGTATTTTTAATACTCAGTAGAAGCTGTACATTCTTACCAAAAAGAGTTTGAAGCTGATAGTGCTGGCTGATGTGTTTAAAAAACAATTGTACACCTTTGCTCTCTGGAACAACTGTCATCGAAGGTAAAGATAAAAAGAGACACAACCATCCATGGAGAGAGGATGACAGAACCTGGAGCTTTCCCACTGTGTGTAATTCTTTCCTGCCTGTGGAGATAAGGCTCCAGTGGCTTCGAGCTGTAAGTTATCTGACCACAGCAATGTGAGAGGAGAGCAGAGAGCCTTTCTGGGCTGGGAAGGATGAAACCCCACAATAATTCACTTATCTTTGAATATTCTGTTCCTGCTTCCAAATAGGAATTAATGAGATCTTTCCTGAACCATTTTTGGTTTTTGGTTTTGTTGGTTTTTATTTTTTTTTTTTTTTTAATTTTTTTTTCTTTTTGGTTGGTTGGTTGGTTTTTTAAATGGATTTGGGTTTTTTTGTTTGGTGAGGGTTGTTGTTTGTTTCTTGCTAAAAGCTCATCACCTTCCTTAAAGACTTGTCAAGGGACAAAACCCAAACCGAAAAAACCCGGCCAGGTTTATAAAATCGCAAAGCCTATTAAAAACAGTCAATAAGCAATGATATCTATCTCTATATAGACAGATATATGTATATATATCCCTCATATATATATATATATATATACAGAGGGGGATATATAGCTATGTGTATATACATGTATTTAAAAGGTTTTTAACTTGTTTATTTAACTTATAACTTTAATATTTTCTTAGACTTTTTAACACAAATTATTTTAACATTAAGACAATTTTCTGTGAATTGTTCAGTTTTACTGCTTGGGTCGCTTCTGAAATCAGGTGATTCTCCTGAAATCTCTTTACTTGCAGGGGGTAGAAGTTTTTGGAAAGCTGCAGATGTAAAGAGTTCACACTGGAACTTTAACTGGGAACGTTGGAATATACGTGGTTTCCAAGCTTCAGGTACTAGCCATCAGTTTAGTAAGTTTTACACACAGTTTGATAAGTTTTTATGGTGTTCCCTGGAACAATTTGAATTCTGGTGCTTGGGACGCTGCTTCTACCTTCTCAAGTGGCTCGTTGTTAAACTTTTCCTAGGGGAAAATATTTTGAATTATTTTGTATTCATGTAGTTGCTGACAAGTTCAACTCCTTGGTCGCAGCTCATCTAACAGTTAACAGCATTTCCTCTTGCCTAATGGGTTGTAAAGTTCATTAGTTTCTTGGTTATCGGCGCCTGATAAAGGTACACTTGAATAATTATAGATTGGTAGTGAGTTCAGAAGTTTAATCGGCTTGTAATTAAAAAAAATTGGCTTTGCATTTTTCCAGCTCTGTTAAACCGTTCCCTCTCAGCTTTGGCAGGGATGCCCCGTCCCTCGGAGGGCACTTGATTGTAATTAAATCTCCTTTCAGAGGACCTTGTACGTGCCCAAAGAACAGATGGCAGAGAGGCCGCTGTCCATAGGTTCTGGCCGGTGCCCAGCTGCCGGATAAATGGGATCAGCCTGCCCGTGGGATGGTGGAAAACTACTTTTTTTTTTCTCCTATTATTATTTCGGTTGATTAACCTTCTGCTAATTGCTGGTATCCACCTCGCCCTGCGGCTCTGAGCATCTCGGGTGAAGCGTGGGGCCGAGCAGAGGGCTGGGGAGCATCCTTCCTCCCGTCCCTCGGGTACCGGCCAGCGCCTCCCGAGCCGGGAATCTCACGGGAACACCGGGCATTCCCGGTGGGGATGCCTGATGTTTGCATTTACCTACAATGGATGTATCGCTTCACTCCTTCCACCGCGGCACCGGCGCCGCGCTGCCCCCATCCCCTTATCAGCTGGAAACCTTATCAGCGCTTACTTTGGGTGCCTTTCCCGTAATTCCTGAGCTGGCGAAACATTCACACCCCCCTTCCCCTGTTTGCAGCAGCGCGTTATCAGCCTTTCCCCCCGATCTTCATCGCCTGTCGCGATTTCGGTGCTTTCACCGCCGAGTTTCCCCGCAGCGCCGGACCTCCGGCGGGGAGGGGGTGTCGCTGTCCCGGGGGTTGTCTCTGTCCCGGGGGGGATGTCTCTGTCCCGGGGGGTTGTCTCTGTCCCAGGGGGGGTGTCACGGTCCCGAGGGGGCGGTGTGGGGGTGTCCCATCCCGGGGGGGGCCGTGCCCGCGGTCCGGTCCCGCCCCGCCGCGTCCCTCCTTAAAGCGCCCGCCCGGCCCCCGGCGCTCTCACCGCGCTCGCCGCCCCTCGCCGCCCCGGAGCCGCCGTCGCGATGCGGGGCTGGACGCTGCTGCTGGCGGCCCTGCTGCCCTCCGTGCTGCCCTCCGTGCTGCTGGCCGCTCCTTCGCCCGCCTGCCCCGAGCGCTGCGATCGCTCTCGCTGCCC